GCAGAGTGTGTGTGTTAGTGTAGTGAATGCAGTGTGTGTGTCAGTGTAGTGAATGCAGAGTGTGTGTCAGTGTAATGAATGCAGAGTGTGTGTTAGTGGAGTGGATGCAGAGTGTGTGTTAGTGTAATGAATGCAGAGTGTGTGTTAGTGTAATGAATGCAGAGTGGATTGCAACCCCGCTTGGGTTGAATGTGGATTTTGATTTGATTTGTTTCCATTGAGTATTATTATTATATTGTTATTATTATTTATTATCATTTTTCATTTTATTTGATTTTGATTTTTACTTTATTCTATCACTTGGTTTACTTTTATCATTTGATTTATTTTTTATTTTTATTTTATTTTTATATTTTATTGCATTATATTTATTTTTATTTATTTCCCTTCTTTACTTGTGGGTTGTAGTATTTAATTTATTTTATAAGCTTGTGATTTCCTTTTGTGAGAAGTGCTCTATGATGAGATTCACTTGTGTATACTATATTCAATTCCTTTTTATGCATTGACTGTCTTGTCTTCTTTATTTACTACAACTCATATGATGCTTAGTTTATTGCTATTGGCATGATCCTTATGAAGCTAATTCTGTTGAATGCATTCAGTTTTTTAATATATTCAGTTTTTTATACCCCTGATACTTTAACTTCTTCCGACCGACGGAACAGGGGAAATGGAACGCATGTGCATTCCATGCGCAGATTGATGACGTCCTCCTGAGCCGCAGATAGGTGGAACGCATATGCGTTCCACGAAGATAAACGGAAGTCCATATATGGTCACGGACTAATGAGCAACTGCGGACAGGTGACCCCAGCGCAACTGATAGGTGGAACAAGACGCAGAGGATACTTAAAAGTAATCATGGACACTTGGTACATTGTAATGTTTGATTTATTGTTGCCATATTTGTTTTTATAATTTACTTTCTCCTGAGGAAGTCTACATTGAGAGTAGACGAAACGCGTTGAGCTTTTTTTACTGCTGCTCGTTATTTCTGTCTCCTACCTTCATACCAGCTGCAATAGAGGGATACAGAGATTTATTGATGAGCATTTCTACCTTTCACTTCTTGTAAATGTGTTTAATTAAAGTGTCATTTTTATATTTTAAAGCATTGCTGTACTATGTCCAGTTTTTTCTTTTTGGCATGTATCCTTGGATATTGAGGATTTCTGCAGCTGAGCTGTTAAATTATCTGTACTAGAGATTCAACAATTGGAGTTTACAGGGACAGGGAAGCAGATGTAAGTGTAACTGGCACCATTTAAGAACATAAACATATATATCTAGAGACCCTATCAATCAAACACAAGAGTCTGCATCTGTGTGCCAGTGTTCTAAATATTATTACAATTTAGTTAATTTGAAAGAGCTGTTGTCTCATTTTGACCATGTATCCCCTGGATCTGGGAGCTCAAACGTTCCATCTTTCATTTTTTTAGAGGAAAGATAGTCTATGAATCAGTCTAGGAATTTAGACTTTAGTCTGTTCCAAGGTCTCATCAACATTTAATTTTACCCTCGATCAAACTGCTACTTGATGGATAATCCTTTGCAACAGCCATTATTAGGCACTGCGGAATAAGCCAAAAATAATAACAATAAAGAGACCCCCTCCTGTGTCAGCTCGAATTCCTAGCTTTGAGTGTAAATCTTAAATTCTACACCTGTATCAGATGAAACTGTCTAGTCTGCCGCTATCTATATCAACTGAAAGATCACTATGCCCTAAAAAATTCTGTGACAAATAAATCCAATTGCCAGTTTAAGGATTCGGTAAACAATTATTGAACGGATAAACAACTCCCTTTAATCTCTATAGATATATTTTGAAATGTAATTTTAAAATAATTTAACTTCTTGATTTTTTTGTTTCCTAAATTTGATCTCTAACTCTTTATTTTTTAATTCTGCTTTCTGCCGCCTGCTTGATTTTTGGTCCTCCTGATCTTGCCTTTAGTGTCGTTATGTTGCAAATAAGTTATGTACAGAGTTTTATGTTTTTTTCAAGCTGTATACCTTCGTTAAGGTGGAGTCTGGTTTCCTTATTCGCAATTGTCAAGGTAACATAGAAAATCCACAGGTTTAACAGGATGGAAACTTCAAACTGGATTTATTAGAAACAGGAACACAAATAATATACCTTTCGGCATCAAGCCTTAATAATATAGAACAAAACCAAGGAATCTCACAGAATTATATACCTGCAAAAAAGGCACACCTCAAAGGGTTGTCGGTAGTAACCATAGTACCAAGGATAAATAAAACAAAATACAATGTCCAGAATGGTAACAGTAGCAAAATACTTCAATAATACAGTAAAGTGAAAGGTCAGAAATATAACATAGTATATAAAATAAAAAAGCACAAGCTCCCTTGTCGTCATGACAACCAGACAGGTAGTCAAAAATTAATAATAAAGGAATACAAAAAAAAAAATATCTGTTGCAACATTTTTCTCCATTATTTTATATAATATGTTATATTTCTGTTTTGACCTGTAGTTTTATTGTAGTAGATTTTCTACTTTGTATTGTCTATTTGGAGGCTGTGGTCCTTCATAGCACAATGTACCAAGCAGAACTTGGGTTCACTATTTCTATTCCCTTGAGTGCCACATCAGAGATAATAAATTCTAAATTAAACAGAATTTGCAATTAAAGAAGTGTAAACGTTAGATGACTCTTTACAGGAAGTGTTTAAGAAGGCCGAGTAAGTCACATGCAGTGAGGTGTTTCTAGGGCTGCATAAACAAAGTGATTTAACTCTTAAATGGCAGAGAATTGAGCAATGAGACTGCAGGAGCATTAACTATACAGCAAAACTGCTTCATTAAGCTAAAATTGTTTTCATGACCATAGTGTCCCTTTAAGATCAAAATAGCCAAACTGGTCAGCTATGTTTTTGTCGGCTTTGGCTTTAAATTTGAAATTCACTTTGAATTCACACTTTAGCAAATAACCCTGTAAATCATGAATAGTTGATATTTAAAAGCAAATTCTAAAATTTCTGATGTAGTCACAAACAGTATTGTATTCTCAGAGCTTATTAACTAAAATGAAAATTGCTGAGCTGGAAAAGTGCTTCTAATTCAGCTACACAATTGCAATTAATTATATAGCGCCTACATATTCTGCAACCCTGTACAATCGATAAACATAACAAACACAACATTTTAGCAAAACATGATTGATTTATTGGAACAGTAGGCAAAGTTCATTATTAATACAATAAGCAGGCAATCTTTAAGTGAAATATATTTTAAATCAAGCTCTGTGGTTGTTTGATAAATTTGATGAAATTTTTAGAAATAAAAACCATGATTTGCAAAAAAAAAAAAATTATAAATAACTAATGGAATAAAAAAAAACAAAAAAACATGCAGTGTATTTAATTTATTTGATCTTGAAACTTACATTTCACAAAACTAATACCCAGTCAAACGCCATGTTTGTGAAAGAAGAATCTTGCCAACAAGTAATCTGTAAATGACTTTTCAAAATACAATTTCTTTTTTTTTAAATTAAAAATAATATAATTTTATGAACATCTGTCAATCAGTCTTGAAATATTGACAAAATAAATATAATAAGTGTAAAGACATGGCTGTTTTATATCTATTGTAGTAAGTTTTGTTACGATTATGTTGTTGAAAGTGCACAAGCATATTCTGCAGCACTGTACGATAATTACAAAAATAAACCAATTAAATAGATTGTAAGACACAAATAAAGTTGAAAAGACAAAAAATCTCCACACAGCTGTGTTGCTTCCAAGATGGCTTCTTGTTTCTCTCTGCTGTAGGCACTGTGACTCCATCCCCCTGGTGCTATCAGCCAGTGATGGCCCCTGAATAGAGAGTCTCCACTCATGAGCAACTGGCTCTCCTTCTCAAATGGCAATTCAATGGAAATTCCCTGAAAAACCTTCTTAAATGACACTGGGCATGTGCAAAACCTGTTCAAACAGGGCAGATTTCAAACCTGGACCATTTTTTGACATGTTTAGATGCTCTCAAGTAAGCTTCGCCAAACAGCTACCAGTGAGGGGGAGGGGCCTTGGAGAACTGAAACCTATTACAGAATTAAATTTCCCATATTTCTTTGGCTTATCACCCTCCCGTCCGGCAAAAGAATCGTGGTTTAAAAAAAAAATTACATTCTTTATTTTGGCGGTGCATAGCAAGCATATGATTCGTACAGTACAGGTGTGTCCGACATTAGCAGTATAAGTATAGATTGGTACAGTTATAGCATTGCACCCTTTTTAAAAAAAAAATAATACAACAGGATATAACAATTCAAGCACATCTGAGTGAAGTTGTGGGTGTTAGGTGTTTCAAGAGGGTAAGCCCTCAGGTGTTCCCGTGTGGTGGGTAGGCGATATGTTCCAGCTTCTGTGTTGAGGGTAGTAGTGGCATATCGTGTGTATGCCTGTGGTGAGGTGTGGGAGTTTTCATGGTGTGTGGGGTGTCGTTTGCCTAGTGGCTGAGATATTGGATTGCGTGGGTGAGATTCGCTAGGCACTCTAGCATATTGCCTAAAGGGAGATGTGCGTCCTCCTCGCTATGTGATACCCCTGACCAAGGGGGCAGTGGAGGGGGGGTGATGTGTCAGTATGTGTCGAGACTCATGTCTCTGCGGATTCTAATGCTCTTGTTGGGCGGTAACTTGAACATGTGTAGGAGAGATCAAAGAAAAAAACAACCAAATATACAAATGTAACTTAAAAACAGATATAACAGCTTCTCATTGTGTTTGCCCCAGGGACCTCTGCTCAAGTGCCATGGCCGTGTGTATTGGCTCAGTCCCCAAGTGTTGTCAGGTGTCAGCTGCCTATGAGACTCCGGCTGTCGGGACGAAGGGGGTGACGCGGGCAGTGTCCCAAGTGTCCATGGGGGTGGTTGACTGTGGGTCCTGTTTGCGTTCTGCTAGTCTCAGTGCTTGCAGGAAGGCCGGTGCTCCCTTGATCGATGTGAGTGTATGATTAGTTCCATTGTGGTGTACCACAAGAGTTCCTGGGGATCCCCCGCGGTAGGGTATGGCTGCAAATCTTAGTTGAGAGGTGACTGGCCCCAGTGATTTCCGCCAGACCAGAGTGTTTTTTGTGAGGTCTTGATAAAATGTTTGCGAGGAGCCTTTGAAAGTCAGAGGTGCCTTATTCCTCAGTGCCATCATGATCTGGTTTTTGTCTTGTGAGGTTAAGCAGCGAAGAATGACGTCTCGTGCTCCTCCAGTTGGTGTTTTAAGTGCACTCGTAATGCGATACACTCCGTCCATGACCATTTTTTTGGCAGTTGTGTGGGGTAGTATGGATGCAAATAATCTGCGAGTATAATGTGGGAGTTCGTCCGCTGTCACAGCAGCAGGGATGCCACGTATTTTAATGTGGTTCCTGCACTGTCTGTCTGTCTTCCAGGGCTGAGATTTGGTGTGTCTGTGTGTCTTGGGTGGTTTGCAGTTGTTGTACTGTCTCTTTAAGGGCTGAGATGTCGGTTCTGGCATCGAGTATGTCCTCTTCAGAGGGCCTGTATGTCAGTTATGGCCTGTATATCAGTTCTCAGTATCCTGAGGTCAGCAGCCCACAGTTGCTGGATATCAGTAAGCAGGAGTTTCAAGTCCTGCTTAGTTGTGGGAGCTGTCCCGTCCGGGATTTCAATGGTGTGCAGCAGACTTGCCTGGGTGGGTGGTGTAGCCTCTTGTCCATTCTGCGCCCGGTTCTTGTTGTTCCGGTCCTCTGCCGGAGTCACCTTGGGCTGCGCAGGTTGTCTCAGCATGGCCCCAATGTCTCTGCCATCTGCCGCGGTGGTCGGCTTTTGGGAGCGACATCCAATTGCGGTCCGGTAATCTGGCTGCGGTAGGGAGGCTGTAGGCTCCGTTCCCAGCGGGGTTTGTGTGGTGTTGCCGCGTAGGAGTGCCTCCAGTCCCAGGCCCAGTGGTGTGCAGTAGGCAGCAGATTTGCACCGTGGTTTGGAGTGTTTTGGTGTGAGGAAGAAAGGCATCTATCGATGCGTTGTGGCTCGGGGGGACCAGCTGGAACGGTAAGGAGGTCGGATAGGTTATAGTTTTTGTGATATTTGGTTAGATTTAGTCAAGTGTTTGGGAGCTCTTAGAGATGGCGTCCGCTCATCAAGCTTGCAGGTTCTGCCCCAGAATCGTGTTTTTAACCCCTTAAGGACACATGACGTGTGACATGTCATGATGTCCTTTTATTCCAGAAGTTTTGTCCTTAAGGGGTTAAACTGCAGCAAATATTTTTTCCCTCACATAAAAACTGGTGGGACGCTGCCCCAAGTACCCTATGGGGTATAAGCTTTGCACATGGCAGTGAACATTGGAGAAATTCATGTTTATAGGTCTCTTGATAGCAATGTTTGGGCTGGCTTTGTCTTGTCTGAACTGTATTGTTATGTCCTTTGCTAAATCTTTTATTTTTATTTATTACTGGTATTTATAAAGTGCCAAACATTCCGCAGCACTGTACAATTGGGAAAAAGACAATACAATAAGAACAGACCGATACAACAGGTAGAGGGGCCTGCCCGTGAGCTTACATTCTAAAGATACAAATATATAGATGATATTTAATTTTTTAATTAATAGTGTAAACTCCAGAGATGGGACAGTCCCCCTTTAAACAAGAATGAGGAAACCTTATGCAAGTCCAGTTGAAGGTGAGGTGTGAACAGGAGAAAAGAAAATGTCACTTGTGGAGTGAATGAGTGATGTGAAATGTGTTGGATCTATGTATCAAAATAATAAACATAGTAATGATAAAGAATAAATCAGCACCTCACAGACAAAAAGACAAACAAAATAAATCGCCAGAGGGCTAATAGGTAAAAAATGTGAATTATTTATTGTACAAACACAATATAAACAGTATGATATTTCTGTCTCCGGCATGGAATCTTTCCAGAGATGTCTTTATGAATGTTCCATACTGATGAGCAAAACATTGCACTTGTCTTCATTGACATCCTAAATAACGATTGAAACATCGACATAATGAGTTTAAAAAGGCCCTACGAGAGCTCTTTTTTCGTTTTTTGTCTTTTTTCGCTATTTTTGTATAGCAGCTTGTAATTGCACATTGGCGACTTCTATTCAATACCATACTTTAATTGTGAATATATAAAAATGCCTATATAGCTCCATATATATATATATATATTTATATAATTTAATTTACACAGTACCATATCTGGCTCAGGCAGCGCAGTGCATCATGGCTAGGGAGCCTAATGTATTAAATTCATATCATCAATATATAGTTTAAGCCAAGCACAAGTTTCACTGCCCTGATTTAATACTTGTAGTCACAATTTTAGAAAAAAAAAAGAATTCTATATAATTTTATTTTTGCGTGTGAAACCCATATGAGCAATGTAAAAATAACATACCAATGCTAAAGATTATATAAATTGCTTCCATAGAAAGCATGAAATTATACAGTTATAATTTATATACATAAGAGTTACTTTAGAACCTTACTAAATATACTGTACAAAATTACAGTGAATATGTACATAGAGACTTCTTTTTACAATTAAGTTAAAACAACGAATAATAATATAATTAATAATATATTCCCAAGGAATGTCCAAGAGCTTGTTGATATTCGAATGGTGTGTCCAGCTTCTAAAAAGACTGAATTTCCTTTGGCTTTCTCAGATTTTGGTTTCTGGTCCTTCTGTAGCCAGTGGTTGAAATGAATTTCGGATCCTCAGTGCTTCGGCTGCACAGAGATGTCCAAAGCATTTATTGTACCACTCAGGACAATGGCCTCTGTGGGAGAAAAAAAAAGACATACAAATGTTTAATTAAAATATCAACACAGTTTCCGTTTTGGGTACATCACCTATTTCTAAGACGTTTATGCCCATCACTTTCTGTAAAATATATCATTTTAAATCAGCTATTTTATCCTGAATATAGTAAAAGGTCAAACCAAGCATCAAAAGCCCTTTGAGTAATTGCAATGTGAATGGTGCGTAATAAACCTTGAACTCACTCCCATTTCTGAGAGTGAGTTATTTAAAGAAATATGAAAAAATAGTTTCTACTAAAGACAGCCCACTGGGGCTGTCAATTAAGTAGCCCAAAACACTTACTTCCAGGTTGTTTATGTTAATTTTGTATCTATTTGTGTGGCGTGCACAGACAGCCCATAACATAGAGAAGGCTCTGTCCTCTCGCAACAGACAAAGCCACATAGTGGATTGGCTCAATGGACTGGCTCAGCTAAGACTAAAAGACAGCTCCAGTTCACTAAACAGTTTATTCATAGCCTCTTTCACTGAGAGCAATCGTAGTATGGCTGCTATCAGTTTAACCCCTTAAGGACCAAACTTCTGGAATAAAAGGGAATCATGACATGTCACACATGTCATGTGTCCTTAAGGGGTTAAAGAGTAGCTTAAATAATTCTGTGTCATTTTACCTTTTTACATCTTATCCCATAATTCTCTACAGAACATTAAATTATGGGATATGAATGAGCTGTTCCTGATTGGAAAATCTTTTCCTGGTGTGGAAGGAACCCACTAAACACTGTTTCAGCTGTGCACATCTAAGGCAAGTATAATTTGAACTTTTTCCAACATAATTTTACCAATTTTATTCATAATGCATAAAATATATTGCAATAAAAATATATTAGCTCAAAATGTCACTAGACAATCCCTTTAATTGTAACTATTCATTACTTTAGGAATTTCTGGTAAGAAAATAACTGCAATGAAATATACTTACTTTAGATCAATTCTGCAAATATGTGTCAACCTAGACTTCCCAGATCCACAAGGTTCTATGAGATAACGCGTTTCGAGGACAGCCGCTCTGACTCCTCCGATTAGCGTACCTTCTTCATGTTCCACAGAAGTAGTCACCAGAGTACACATTCCTTTAGGCAGATCAGTTCTCCACGTTCTGAAGAAAAAAATAACATTTAGAATTATTAATAAAAGCTACATCGGGATATCAGCAAACCAGAATTACTTCCCAGAGACTCTTAATAAGAGTCAATCTGCAAACACTCTCCCTACAAAAATAGACAAACATATAATATAACATAAGTAAAAACCCCACAGCTCTTTTGGGCTATCGCGTATGTGCATTATGGGAAATGTGTCAGGTCATCAGGTATCTCATCAAAATGTCTACATTATAGTCTTCAAAAAGTAAAACAAATATATTTACTGGGCACATCAATACATCTGCTACAATAAAGAAAGTGACATCCTAAAGATGCTGAAATCATAATTATATTAACAATGCAAATAGTCAATATCGATTCCGAGCCAAAAAAAACCAATAATTGTAAAAAAATATATCCTTTGCTGTATTTTTTAACTTACCTTAAAACTACAAAGTCTTTGGAGGGATGTGGAGCCATGCTATCAAGCACATATTGGTAAACTTCTGTTTTAATATCGAGTGTCTCAATCACTTTCGACTGAAGGAAATCATCATCCCACAAGTGGCGCTCTCTCAAGAGGCGATTAAGGACAATTGATGGAGGAGCCTCTACTTCAACTGCTACCTTCCAAAGTCTCAGAGGGTTGCCGTCCCCAACCTAGAATGAAAAATACAATATAGAGATTAAACAACAAAGAATGGAATAGGGTTATCTCTAACAGATATATTAGCTTAGTAGAAGACAGGTTACATGAATTCAAAAATTTGATTATGGAAGTTATGAAGACAGAAAAAATAATTATGTTATACTTAAGGACAATATACAAACAAAAGTCTATAAATGTTATACAAAGAAAACAACAACAGATTAATGAAGAACATTAAAAAAAACTTCTAGTAGGCAACACTTATGTTACCTTTTTGTAAGCAAGGTCTGTGTTTTCGGGGCTTGAGATTGAGATCCAGCCTTTAAACTTCTCCTTGGCTTCTTTCTGCAGTGCTTGGATAACATTTTCGAAGTATGTGCTATAGTTGCCCCCATCCTCTTCCAGTTGTTTCCCAATCTCCTCCAGGGTCAGAATGTGGTTGTCAGCTTCTATATATGAATTCCGTGACTGGGCTATAACCTCCTGCGGAACCTATAGAACATAAGGAATCAGTCAGCTCACATTACAATACAAAATATATGAGGATGAAACCCATTGCGAGACTGAGTGGTAGGACATATAGATAATACATAAATAATCATAACTCGCACAAGATGACATGAATTTGCGACTGTTATTAAAAATAATGCCATGGCATGGTGTCGTAGGTAATTCCAAGACCCTTGACCTTCTTGCCAAGTATACCTCTCATCTGTCCCAGAATCCTTTACTTTTGGAATATATTCAAAAGAATACCAGTTAAAGGGCAGGCAAACAGAGAAGGTCCCCAGCACTGCAACTGG